TGCTGTAGGCATGTTTGAATAACGGTGGGCGTTACCTCATCTTGCAGGTTTTGAACGCTGATTTCTTCTAACTGCGCGTCTTTGAATCGGGTTAGAACTTTTTGCAATTGGTTAGTATACCGCGTGAGTATCCGTTTGTGACTTGCCAGTGATAGGTTGGACATGATTGAAGAATCAACGTACTTGGTTGTAACTTCCTTAACCTGATGGATCCTTTCAAGCGGCCAATGCACCAAAATTATGGTGGGACGGCTCGATTATATAGGAATACCAAGTAGTTAAGATGATTCGGTCCGAATTTGCTGCTCGCTTTTGTGTATGCCACGCGGAACTTCTTGTAAGTAGTATTCACAATGCCGGAAACTTCAAACTTGGGTAATTAAACCGTTTATCATAATTATACAACAATTATGGCATAACAATACAACTGTACAATTAATACAACAATGATACAAGTAATGAATAGGCGCAGCCTGATTTCTTGTGTTCAGGTTGCCCAAGAGTGAAGAGGTTGTCATAAGACTTTGACCACATGAGATCGATGTGAGGAAAGGATATGGTGATTTGGGCAGCATTGCTGTGACCTGAGCTAGTCAGCCGTGGAGCCGTTTATATACCGTTTGGGTTGGGCGGAGTCAGGCTACAATAGGCGGAGTCGCGTTACAGTAGGTGGAGTCAGGCTACAGTATGCGGAAGGACGGCTACCGGAAACATTTCACAAGCGTTGCAATCTGATAAGGCGATAGTCAAAGCATAGGACTGTAACTGCAGATGTTTTTCATGAGATAACCGCCGACGAAATGTTAGTCATAAGGTCACCGGAAGCCGTATTCGAAAATGTTTGACATAAGGTTATCAGATCGTCATGGAGAAAAGGTCACCGGAAACCGTATTCCAAAATGTTTGACATAAGGTTATCAGATCGTCATGAAGAAAAGGTCACCGGAAACCGTATTCAAAAATGTTTGACATAAAGTTATAATTAATTTACATAGAGAACATTCCAATATTCGTAAAGAATGTTCTCTATACGGCCTACTTCTCTAGGAATAAAAGCAAGTTGGTCGGTCGTCTCTCCATTCACTCAGATCCCGTGACTGCCTTCATATTTTCTCAACATCCTTGCTTCAGTTGCAAGAATCACAATGCTGTATTCCTCTATCACACAACCATTTTTAATCATTGTAGTACGTTTCATAATGCACTTGCACCGAAGATGTTCTCATCCCTTTGCAAATTTATAGCTCTTGATTCCTTTTTGCCTTATAGACGCAGAAGACGAGCAAAGACGAGTGCATCATTGCAGAAGCATCGCCCGCTGGACTGAGCATGAAGCACATTTTCATTCTCGTTGCTCAGGTGTGGATTACAATGGTAGGTTAACGTTCTTGCAGTATCAGAGGACAACCGCTTGTCCGAATGCTGAACAAGTGTCATGGTCTTTCAGGCCTGTAAATCGTACAGTGCCGATGAGAGAATGCGGGAGCCGTGGACAACAATGCCACCGCTTCAAGAAACAACAACGCGACCGGGGCCAGACCCACGAGGGCCACCAAGCATAGCGGGGATACGTGGCCCAAATAGGCTAGAAGGGCCACCAAGGCCACAAGGGCTGAACGGGATACCAGGGACACCAGGGCTACAAGGGCTACCGGGAGCGCGTAGCCTACCCGGGCCAGTAGGGCCACCAGGGCCACCAGGGCAGGACGGGATACCTGGGGATCGAGGCGTGCGAGGGCAACCGGGGTTACCTGGCCCACGCGGGCCAGAAGGGCCACCAGGGCCACCAGGGCAAAATATAGGACGCTGAATCCGAAGGCAAACGAAGGTAACAGATATAGAACGCAAATTAAAGGTTCAGTTAAATAGGAACGGTTGTCCAATTGTTGATGACAGGAGGAATTTAAATAAGGAACTACTAGCAAAAATTTGCCTGTCTGCAATAAAAACGCGTCATATAAATTAGCAGATTAAGAACGAGTAGTCTATAAATCACATGATTAAAGGACTTTCCTAAAGCAGCTTTTCTGATCATCAATGGCCTAAATCTCTTTGTCTAAGGAGTTAGTCGATTGTAGTCATATGCAATGTACCTTGAGAACAGCTTGTAAAATCGCCTCATTATCGAACATTTGTTTATAGGGTACGGTGTTTAAGTAGTGGTCTATGGCGCTGGAAAACATCCAAAGCGACTCAAGTGTTACTGTGAAAAAACGCATTGAAGCCTCTGTTTGATGTAGACTTTTTCTGTATTCGAGTTGCTACCAATAAACCTTCTTCCCGGTCTTTCTTGCATTTGCATATGTTAAAATATTCTATGAGATATGAAGCTGCTACCAACCAGTATACTTTTCTCCTGCTGCACTGTAACAAGTTTACATCAAAAATTTGTCCTCGCTGACCATCCGTAACATTATCCAATGTATTGTTCGAGGAAATGGAGAAAAGTGTACTGAAGAGCTCAGAAAACCCGACGGAAGATAAGTTCGTCAGACACGGCCTTAGCACAGGTGTGCTTTCACAGATGTTTCTGGGTAGACATGTCAAATTCTTTAATTGTTTCGAACCATCTACTCGCTTTTGAATCCACTAGGCACTGCAACGAAATAGTTAGCAGCGAAGTGAAGCGGTTCAGATTGGTGTAGAAAATTAGGCACGCGAGTGTTTCAGCTGTTTTATTGATCTGGCAGCCTTAAACGAGGGCAATTAAACCTTTGATATATAAATAAAACATTAATAACATAATAGTAACGATAGAGATGTAATGGTAGAGGAATGACGCGAGTTACGCTATGAGGTGGTAAGGCTAGTAGTGAAGTGAGGCTAATAACAAGATAATGGCATTCTAATATTACTATACTATTAATACAATATTAACAGCAATAATGAATGATTACAAAGAAGTAACCGTTGGTTAACCGTGAGCGATGCCGTGCCGCGTTTATCCGCGGCCGGTGCGGCGGCTGAGGGAGACAGTATGCTGTGGGCGGA